CGCCATCTTTGGCGATTTTTAATTCTTATTTGGCTAAGCCAAATGACTTGGAAATTTATAAGCATGTACCTCACGTCATAGAGAACTCATAAAAAAAAACTCAGGAAAAACAATATATATTTTTAGGCCCCAAAATAATTTTTGGCGGGGCCCGAACTCCGTCGGGTTCAGACCCCGTACGGGATCCCGAATGCCTGAACGTACGCAAGTCGTCCCGGGGGCCTCCGTATGTACGGGCTGATAACCCTGTATATATATATATATATATACATATATATATATCGATAACTACTCATAAAAAACGTTCCATAATAAAAAAATGTAATGATATCTCGTGACACCTTAATTTTTTAATTAAAAAAATATAATAAAAAATATTAAAAACAAATGCGTATCATATTTTTGTTAATCGAATAGTAATAAGTTAGTAACGAATATTTAAAAGGTATAATTATAACATAAAAAACTAAGTTACTTGTCGGGGTCACCCGGGTCGCCCTATTTTCCTGGGCGGCCCGACTGTGCAAGAACTATAGAAGGTCACATGCCCTAAAAAAAAAAAAACTGAACAACTTTTGTCTCGGGGTCACATGTAAAAAAAAACTTACATCGGCCTCAGGGTCACATGTAAATTATTTACATCGGCCTCAGGGTTACTATTCGATTAACAAAAACTATGTTATGGGGAAAGATAAACTGAACAACTTTTGTCTCGGGGTCACATGTAAATTATTTACCAAATTTATATATCTATATCTCACATCGGCCTCAGGGTTACTATTCGATTAACAAAAACTGAACAACTTTTGTCTCGGGGTCACATCTGAACTAAGTTGAACTTATGTTTTTCATGACCTCACAGTTCAACCCGAAGTTATCCTGGCAGCATCAACCAGTTTAGCTTACGGCCTCGGCCGAACCGAAGACTAATTGTCAGACAATCCATCTCATGAAACCAAACCAAAATCAGACCAATGTCCTTTTACCGATACTACTTCTTGAAATAAACTACCCTGCTCTTTAACATGTGATTCAACCACAGATCATGTTGTAGAAGTCTAACACGACGACCAGGTCTACCCTACCTGGTGAAACATTTTGTTCCTTTTCTCACTAACACTCTCCTACTAGACCACGACGTCCCTAAAAAACGAGTGTCCTGGTGGAAACCTTGACACTCTCTACCCTCCCCTTTACTGGGCGAGATACCCTGATCCCCTACTATGAGAGCCTTTCCCCCACTCTTCCTACCTATTCCTAACTACTCTACGTGCTCAGCCAGTTTGAGATCACCAATCCTCGGGAGGTATAAACGCCCGTCAGTCGGTTCCCTTTTGTCAACGTTTTCAAGAACCACCAAAGTTGTCTCCTTGGGCCCATGCCACACTTGGTTTTCCTGCGCCAGTCAACCCATATCGAAACAACTTTTGCCTTAGGGTCAAATCAAAATTCTGTAGAAAACTTAAAATAAAAATTTTATTTTATTTTATTTTATATATTTTTTTGGCCCGGCGAGCAAGTGGACCCGGACCATTTTGATAGTCTCGTTTATGTTAATATATATTTTTAATTTAAATATTTATTTTATAAGAAAAATGTTACCAGAGTGGCCCGGGTCTACTTGCCCGGCCGGGCAAAAAATATATATATATATCATCACAAACAGAACTGCCCGGTAAACCGTAGGCAGAGAGAGAGAAGAGGACAACAAACGAGGGGCTGTGTATATATATATATATATATATATATATTTAATTAAAATATTTATTTTAAATTTGGTACAGGATTTCGATGTGATCCTGAGGCAAAAGTTGTTCAATTTAATTTTCTGCATAACATAGTTGTTTTTTTTTTTGTTTTTTTTTTTTTTTGCTGGGAGCTTCCCTTGTCCTTGCACGGCCGGGCCGCCCGGGAAAATAGAGTGATCCGGGCGGCCCGGCTGGTAGCCTAAACTGTAAGGCATAATTTATTTATTTATTTATTTTTTTTTTTAAATATTGTTGGTTCTTTGAGAAGTGAGGTATCCGGGTTGAGTTGTGAGGTCCCCGACCTCGTTGAAATAATTTTAATAATAGTGTTTGCTTTTGTTAAAAAAAAAAAAAAAGTGAGGTATACCCTTATAAATTTCCAGTCAAAATTTGAATTTATTAAAAAAAGAAAAATCATCAAAAATTGCAACCCCCAAAAAAAGATATCCTCCTCCTTCCCCTCCTTCCCCTACTATTTTTCATTTTTTTCTCTTCCTCGTCTTTTATCGCCACGACCCATTCATCCTCCTCCACTGCCTCGTTCTCTCTTCTTCTTCCTCCTCCTCCTCCTCCTCCTCCTTTCCTCTTTTCCTCCTCTTCCTCCATAGCCTATGGCCCCTCCCCATATTCCTCCTCCTCCTCCTTTTCGTGTGTAGCAACGGGCCCTCCATTAACCCTCAACCGTCCCCATGTTTTTTTCCGGTTTCGCTCAGAATGGCCTGAATTTCTTTTGGGGGGTCCCCTAGTCGTGCGCAGAACCCCCCCTTTGATTTATTTTATTTTTTCCTTTTTTTTTGGGGGCCAAAAAGCTGTTGTATGCACCAATTCAATTACCTTGTCTAATCTGGGCAGGACGGCTTTTCAGGCCTTGTGGCCATATAGATCGCCCGGTAATTGAAGATTAGCATGGCCCCTACGCAAGGATGGCACCCATAAATCGAGAAATGGTCCAAAAAAGACGAAAAAGAGACGATGGAGCTAGCTGGGGATTCGAAGCCCTCGTGGGGGTAGGCAGCGGAGGGCTGGCTTTTTTCTTTTCTTTTCCGGGGTGCCTGGTTCCACTCGGGGTGCCTGGTAGCGGAGGGGTGCCCGGTTCTGCGCCGGGGCCTGCCGTAGTTATTGTTGGAGTTCATTTTTTGCAATCCAACGGTATTGCCAACAGCAGTGCGGATTCACAACCCGGGACTTAGCGGGGGGTTCTCGTCCTTGCCCTCGCGCTCGCCCTTGCCCTTCACTTCATCCCAAGCACCTCCCATCTCCTACACCTTTCCCGACTTCTCATTCTCGGTTGCCACGTGGCCCTTTGGGCAAGTGGCTCGTCATCATTTAGGTAAGCTCTTTGCATCGCTTCCTCCTCCTCTTCCTCCTCCTCCCTCTCCCTCTCCCCCTCCTCCTCTTCCTGCTCCCTCTCCTCGTCCTCCTCTTACTCTTCCTCCCTCTCCCCATCCTCCTCCTCCTTGTTGCCCTCCGACAAGTCGCTAAGAAAGCATTGCTCGTCGCCCCTCTCTCTCTCTCTCTCTCTCTCTCTCTCTCTCTCTCTCTTTCTCTCTCTCTCTTTCTCTCTCTCTCTGTCTCTTTCCTTGCATCAGATAGATTCTCTCTCTCTCTCTCTCTCTCTCTCTCTCTCTTTTCTCTTTTCTCTCTCTCATCTCTCTGCCTCCTCCTCCTCCTCTTCCTTCTCCTTGTTTCCGTCCGACAAGTGACTCAGAAAGTATTGGTCATCGCCTCTCTCTCTCTCTCTCTCCTTGCGTCAGATGGATTCCTCCTCTTCCTCCTCCTCCCTCTCCCTCTCCCCTTCTATCCACCCTCCTTGTTCGTCTCGTCGTCGTCCTGCTCTTCTTCACTGCGATCATCTTTCTTCCCCCGCTACCCCGCTCTCCTCCTTCCCCTCCTCCTCTCTCTCCTTTTTCTGTTAATAAACAACTACAGCAAATAAAGGTTTCTTCTTTAAACAATAATAAAATGAAAAGATTACCCTCCTGCTCTTCTTGGTGATAGCTGGTCGGTGACGAAGACGAGAGGAACCATTCTTTTTTTTTTCTAAACGAAGTTTGAAAAGTGAAAACAGTTTCTAAACTTAAAATTTTTGATAAAGGGAAAACAGAAGGAAACAGGAAGGAGGCCAGATGGGCGGTATGATTGAGAGAGCAGAATGTATGCCATTTATTAATCGCGAGCAGGGAGGAGGAGGAGAAGGGGGGAGGAGGAGGGAGGAGGAGAAGGGAGGAGGAGAAGGGAGGAGGAGGAGGAGGGAGGAGGCGAGATGACGAAGAGAGTCGGGAGATAGACTGAACGACGGATCGATTCCTCGTCCTGCCTGAGGAAAGGAAGAGAGAGAGAGAGAGAGAGAGAGAGAGAGAGAGAGAGAGAGAGAGAGAGAGAGAGAG